ATAATACAAATTTAGAATTCCAGAGGTACCGGGAGCAAAAGCTTCAAACCTTTAGTTCATGAAATGAAGCACCATTATAAGATTGACTTTCTAGCAATCTTGGAAACTTATTGCAATACCAAAGAAGTACAGAAGAGGATTGCTTCATTGGGCTTCTAGTTTAATGTGATTGTTGATACAGATGGCTATAACGGTGGTATTTAGTGCCTGTGGAATGATGAAGGGTGGAAGATCAGAGTGATGGAAACTAATTTCCAATTCTTACACCTTTGTATCGAAATGAGCAATGGGAGTTGCTGGTTTCTTACATACGGTAGTCCGAATCCTATGATTCATCGTAGTCTGTGGCATGAGTTAGACTAAGATTCAGGAAAATACTCTTGGCCCTTGGATTCTCGGTGGTGACTTCAATGCCACCCTTTATGACTTTGAGAGAAAGTCCTAAGCGCGACATGGCCTCTCTAATGACAAGGACTTTGTTTCTTGGTTTGACAAAAACTAACTCTTTAACCTAGGATACTGTGGTCTTGCTTTTACATGGAGTCGGGGTACCACTGCAGTGAGAATTGATCAGTTTATTTTTAATACTCAGTGGTATAATTCTTTCCCTAATGCCACGGTGACTCATCTACCTTTCTTTAAATCTAATCACCGGCCAATTATGCTCAAGCTTTATCCGGAGGAACCTTATACTAGACTTAATTGCCCTTTTTGATTTATTGCTTCCTGGGCTTTATATGAGGGGTTTGACGAACTTGTACGTAAAGAATGGCACGAAGAGCTCGAATGGACTGCGAATATTTCTGAATTTGCCAAAGCTTGCTCTCATTAGAATCGTCAGTCTTTTGGGCATATAGGAAGGTAGAAACATTAATTATTATGAAGACTTGATGGCATTACGAGGGCAGTAGTGAGAGGAGGAGATACTAGGTTCTTGAAAGACCTACAACTTTCTTTATGACAGGAGCTTGAAAGTGTGATCCTTCAAGAATCTCTTCTTTGGGCTCAGAAAGCACGGTTGAAATAGAATATTCATGGTGATCGCAACATAAAATTATTTCATTCCTATACAAATAAGAGACAGAAAATGAATCGTATTGACGCCATCTGCAATGATGAAGGTACATGGTTATATGACCAAAATTCTATTAAAAAAGAAGGTACATGCTTCTTTGCCAACCTCTTTGTAGATGACATTTTGTGTAGACAACCCCTTGTCTGTGCTGTTTCTTTTCCCCTATGGAGACATATCTGCTAGATTTTTGCGAAAGGGAAGTGAATGAGATGGAAATTAAAGAAGCTTTATTTAGCATGGGGGCACTTAAATCACCGGGCCCGAATGGTTTTAATGCTTTCTTCTTCCAAAACTAATGGAACACGGTGAAGGGGTCTATTATCCATTTTATTAAATGAGCTTTTGAGAACCCTCATTATATCCGGGATATTAATAAGACTCTGCTGGTTCTTATTCCTAAGAAGGATCCCTCGAAATCTTTTAGAGACCTTCGTCCGATCAGCCTTTATAACGTGATCTGTAAGATTATCACGAAGATTGCTGCTAACCGGATTAAGAGATTCCTCCCTTAAGTTATTTCTCCTAACCAGTGCAGCTTTGTTCTTGGCAGGCATAGTGCATACAATATTATTGTAGCTCAAGAGGTTATCCACTCTATGAGGAAGATGAAAACGAAGAAGGGCTTTATGGCTATTGAAATTAATCTGGAAAAGGCTTATGATAGGGTAAACTGGGGATTTCTTATGAATTGTTTAAGAGAATTGAATCTCCCGTCCCAGTTCATTAATCTCATTCACTATTGTGTATCCACTGCTAAGATGCAATTGCGTTGGAATGGCAAATAGGCTGAGGAATTTGATATATCTAGAGGTGTTCGCCAAGATGACCCCATCTCCTCATATCTCTTCGTAATTTGTATGGAAAAGCTAACTCATCTGATTCAGATGTATATTGCAAAAGAGGAGTAGAAACCGATTCGACTCACTGGAACAGGCCCCCTAATATCCCACCTCTTATTTGTGAATGACATTATGATATTTGCAGAAGCTTCCTCCCAACAGGTTGATATGATTAAAAGATGTTTGAATGATTTTTGCGCTTGCTTGGGGATGAAGGTGAATAATGCTAAGACTAGAGTCTTCTTCTCCAATAATGTCAGTCCCAGTTGAAGAAACGACTTAAGTGCGTCTTTAGGATTTATGCTAACTGGTGATAATGGGAAGTATCTTAGAGTTCCATTATATCACCAATGTATTTCATAGGATACCTTTAAGAGTGTTGTGGATAAGGTTAAGGGAAAACTAGATAGCAAGAAGACCAACTCTATATCTCTTGCTGGACAGGTAACACTTATCTCATTAGTTACCAGTGCTATACCAAGGCATATCATGCAAACCACTTCTCTTCCTTCTAGTACTTGTGCAAAGTTGGATAGATATAATTGAAACTTTTGCTGGGGAGGTTCTGAGGATTCTCAAAAAACTTATCTAGTAGCTTGGGAGTCCATTTGCAAATCAAGGGTAAAAGGAGGTTTAGGTCTTCGCCAAGCGGCTTTGCATAATAAAGCCTTACTAATGAAACTGGGCTGGAGTTTAACCAAAAGACGAGAAGATTTTTGGGTGCAAGTCGTCCGAAATAAATATGGCTGTGGCAATGATTTAATTCCAATTATTGATTGCAAAAGACCTAGCTTTAATCTTTGGTCTGGCATTAAGAAAACCTGGGAGAAGGTTAAAGAAGGGCTGGAAGTAGGCTGAGGTGGGGACATGGTTCGTTGGCGATGGGAGAAAAATGGGAACTTCTCTATAAAGTTTGCATATACCCAGCTCCATCAGCTTAATACTAGAACAGACCCAATATGGTCAAAAATTTAGAAGTTAAAGATTCCTCATCGGTGTCAAACTTTTCTCTGGCTTGCATATAATGGTTGTCTGCTCACTAATACGGCTTGTAAGAAGAGGGGCCTCTGTGATGACGATACCTGCACCTTATGCAATAGTATGGAATCTATCCTTCATGTACTTAGGGATTGTAAACTTACTAAATAGCTCTAGAAGGCTCTTGTTCCACCTGACGCGTGGAATGTATTCTTCAGTTTGGAACTTCAACCTTGGATTCACTAGAACTTATCTCCGAGGCAGAAAAAAAGATGATGACTGGAGTACTTTGTTTGCTATGATCTGCTGGTGGACTTAGAAGCGTAGTAATTTGTGAATCTTCAAAAACATTAATATCGGCAATGATACGATATGTCTGAATGCTAAGGCAATGCTGTCTAGCCTCCAGTATGCACATACGAAGCTATCCACTCATGCAGATCATGTTTAGCTTCCCAAGAACAACATTGCTGGAGTCCACTGGAGCCTAGATGGATTAAATGTAATATTGATGGTGCCTTTTTAAATCTGCATCAAACAACTGCTTGTGGGGGCCTTCTTAGAGACTTCCAAGGAACCTTTCTTCATGGCTTTACATGCAGACTGGAAAGCGGTGATCCTTTGGTAGCTGAATTATGGGGCTGTATTTATGGTTTAAAAATGGCATGGGATGCTGGTTACCATAAAATCGTGTTGGAAACGGATGCCATGGAAGTCTTTGAACTGTTAACAAATGGCTGTAATCCTGAACATGAAGATTATGATACTTGTACACTCATCCAATCGTTACTGAAGCAGGAGTGGGAGGTTAGACTTAAGCATATCCATAAATGCTGTAATGCAAGTACGGATCACTTAGCGAAAGTTGGTCTCAACATTCTGCCAGGTATTTCCTTCACTATACAAGCTCTCGAGAAGCTTCTTGTTGTGTTGGCCAGTGACTGTGATCCTGGTGATGGGGGTTAGCCTAAGTGGGCTTAGTTTCATCGTTTGTATAAAAAAAAGAATGGAAACAAAAAAACCAGAAGGTATAAAAAAAATAGCAAGCTGTTCATGGTTCTCATGGGAGAAGGAAATGAAGGACAGAAAACAAGCAAAGATGTAAATGAAGATAGCCAAAAAAAAAAAAAACAAAAGAAAGGAGAAGGAAAAAACTAGCAGGCTGTTCGTGGTTCTCTTACAGTCGTATGAACATCTCTTTCTCACAATCTTACTTTAGCAGATGCATGATTGTCTTATGTTCATCTTATGCTGTCGGGGTATATGATATTTTCTTTTTTATTTAGGTTATGATGTGTATTTTTGAGTTTACACAATTTTTATGAGGGCAAATTAGGGAGAAAAAAATATTTTCAAGGAAAATATTATTTTCCACGAGGAGACCCTTGAAACCCATTTTACACTCTCTCTCTTAAAATTAAGATCTTAAGAATTAAAAACAATGCCAACTGAATTTTAGAAAATGCCTTTTCTCTTTCATTTTCCTTTTCAAGACTATAGTTTCATGCAAACCAAAACAAACCTTAAAAAGACTTTACGAAGGATAATAGATTGAATAATTTGTTAACAGATTAGTGAAGTGTAATGTTTAAACTTTAAATCCAATGATCTTGCTAGAAATGTTAATTAGTGAAGTGTAATATTTAAATTTTAAATTCAACAATCTTATTAGAATGTTAACATTAACTTCATGATAAAAAAATGAGAAATTGATGTAAAAATTATTTAAATTTTTTTAATGATTTTTCCTCAATCAGCTTATCAAATTTACAAATTTTTTATTTAGTTTTATTTATAAGTCAATTTCAATATATTTTATTAAAAAAACTTTAAAATTCATCATTAGTATCTAAAAATTTCAAAAAAACTTTAATCTTATTAAATATATATATATTTTAATAGTGTATCTCCTCTCTATATTATTCAATGAATGATACAAAATTTTATAATAATAATTTAATAATATAATTTATAAATAAAAAATATATATATATATTTTTGTGAATAAGTGCAGAGTACATTAATTGTTAATTAATATATTTAAAATGCAGAATAGTTCGATGCAATCGGCAGATCTACTAGGGAAGGTACTTGACTTAATGGGTCCTGTTTCCGGGGACGTGGCATCGGAGTCGGCTAATGAATCGAAAAGGATCACGAAAGAAGATGGGGCGTTGGTGATCATATGTTGAAGCAGCAAGTAGCCCCGCAAGCCAAGTCGGGCAGCGCTCTCAATGGCGGACACTGGAAACACCGAGACTGAACTTTCACTTTCTGGCTCTAAAACCCTAAACCCTTCTGACGCAGCCAACGGCTTTCATTTGCCCCAAGCGCCCGGTGAAAACGCTCAAATCGATCAGGAATCTTCGTCTCCTGCTGCCCAGCCTTCCGGCGATGCCGTCTCGGCCGTAAAGCGGAAACGGGATGACTCGGATTCAGGGGTCTCAGATCCTTCGCTCAATCCCTTGTGGAAAACCAGCCTCTGTTCTTATTTTCGGCGACATGATGGCTCCTGCAGCCACGGCAGTGAATGCCGCTATGCCCACGGCGAAGAGGAGCTTCGTCCTCGGCCCGATAACACCTGGGACCCGACTTCTGAGCGGGCGAAGAAGGCAATGAAATCCGATACGGGCGAGAAATGTACAGTTTCCTTGGGTGTTATGATGACTGAGGCTGTGGTCGATGATGCTGATGGCAAGGACAATGATGATTCCAATCACGCTCTTAGCAAATGCTTGGTGCATTTACCGAGGAAATGGGGTTCGGACAGCTTGAGGAGTTTTCTCAATCAAGAGGCAAGCTTGCTTTGGGTTTTGCTTAAGTTGTTTGAAACCCGTTTTGAACTCGAGAAAGTAGTTGGAAAGTAAAAAGTACACACTGAATTTGGTATATATGCGTCTGATGAACTGAACTTTAGCTAAAGTACTCGGCTAAATTGAGCTACTCCTAACACTGACTTAATGTCGTAACTCTGGCAATAAAATCGTCGACCTTCATTTGTCTTAATACACTGTGGAGACAACGTTAGAGGGGATGTTTAAATTGAGTTATCTTAATGAAGACTCAAGATTACGAAACTTTTTTTATTTTTCCTTTTCAATTCCATATTGTGGAGTTGTTCAGCTCTTTTTTTTCCCAAGGTCAAAACTTTTGTTATTCAATTGAAAAATATTTTGAAGAAAAATAACGAAGCTCGTTTTGTGATGAAGGCTTCTTGTGCTGATACAACATAATTGCTGCTTTTTATCTCCTCCGCTGATGAGATTGCTTAGCCTCTTCAATAATAGTATAGTGTAAAGTTATATACTATGTTGCTGCTATTGTTATCTTTTCACAAAAGCTTCCGAACTTTTTATTTCTTCGCTTCTTCGTTTTTGGGTGGCTGGGTGCCCTGAGAGCTGCTGGACTGCTGTTGATCCTGTATTTATGTGAAGCCCTTCAACATTTTTTTCCTTTTCCTTTTCTTTTGGAAGTTTATACTTGAGGCTGGCAGAGGTATGAGTTATGTATCACGTATAACCATGAAATATTTGGTTCTTTTTCTTCTTCTACCATTTAGGGTATACCTTTCAAATCTGCAAAGAAAAAGAAAGGCATGCTAGTAGGATTTGTCACTTTTGAAGATCAAGAACAATTGAAGGGCTCAACAAAGGTAATTATGACCCAGTTACCCATTATTTAATTCATCTGCTGTGGAGTTAGTGATTAATTAAACTGCCATTGTAATAGGAGCTTGAAGGAAAATTAATTGGCAGCAAAAGTTTAGAAGTTGCGGACGTCATTCCTCGATCATTTGACAAGAAGAGTAATTCAAATGTCACTCTTTGTGCAGAATCTGCACCAAATGCAGATGCTGCGCCAGTGAAGGAGAACACAGATGGGAATATGGATGGTGAGACAAATGGTGCGAATTTGGCAGTTGGTGATTCCATGCCGAAGACAAGAAGCCTCCGCGATGTAGTGACTCCTCTTTCTCATATGGCCTATGCTGACCAGTTAGAGCACAAAAAAGGCTCTCTCACCCAGATTCTCAAAGGACTTGTTAGTTATACCTGTTTTCTATTCTGCCTTTTCTAGTAGTGATTTTTTTCTGGGTTATACCTACTTATTCTATGTCTTTTGTAAAGAGTGATTTTTCAGAAAATTAAACCTTAGGGTATGTTTTTTGCAGACTAGAAATGCTCGTAGAGCTTGTCCAAGTGGCGTCTCTCTTCCTGAGTGGGTTCTGAAGTCTAGGGACTTAGGTAGTGTATATATTTTCAGAAGTTTAAAGCGAATCCCCAGGAAAATTGTATGGTTTTGGTGTTTAAGGCTGTATGAAGGGGTTTTTTTAATTAAATTATCTTACACAGTGGTATTTTTCTCCATAATTTACCTGATAGCATACTGAATTGCTGAGTCAACATGGTTCTCCATTATTGACTTATCAGAGAAGAAAGGGGAGGAGGTTAGAATCAGTTATGCAGAATTAAATTAATTTCTGTTTAATTGTTGCATTTTCAGTTTTAGTTAGCTAAAAAAGTGGATCGACTGTTGCTAAGTGGTTCACCCACGTTTTAGTTAGTTTGAATCAGTTTTGATGTAATGCCAGATATGATGGGATATTTTCTTATTATTCATTTATTATTCTGATGTAAGTCCAGCATTGTAAATGGGCTAGTTCTCGCCATAGCTAGTCACATTGAGAAATAAAATATCATTTCCATTGGAAATTCTCCTACTCTGGCTATTGAATTTATTAGGGTGAGATTCTTGCTCTAATTTATTTAATATATTTATTTGCTTTCATTACTTCCTAAGTACTTAACAGTTTGATATCAGAGCCATTCAATCCTTAATGGATTCCTGCCCCCTATACACCCCTCCTAAACCTTCATCCTCACCACCCATCTCAGTGTACAATCACCTATCTAATCATTTTTCCTCGCCTTGTCATGCACATCAACTCCTTTACATCATAGCTTGTCTTGATGTCTTTAATTCTACAATTAGGGCACCACAAATTGTGCCAACTAGCAGAGGAATCAAAGCTAGCCAATTCATTTAGGAGTTAAGAGAAAGGTCAAAATCCATAAATTTGGAGTGAATAAACCCAGGTCAGTTTATAAAGCAATGAATTTGGTTTTAGAATTTGAAGGGAAGGCACAACACATTCGCAGGCCCAATTCACATGCCCAGTCCAACCAGAAAAGAGCTCCTCTGACTAGGTCTTCAGTAGCCACACATGACAGCAGCGGCCTTCAAAGCTTTAAGTGTCTATTACAAAACCCAGTTTTTGTTTGTTGTCATGATAAAGGTCTCTGCTTTTCATCTGGAAATACAATCATTATTTTGTTATATAAGTGGAGATTCTCCTTTGGCTTTATTAGTCATATGAGTTTAAGATTCTTGCTCATCTTCCTTTATCTTTGTTAATTTATGATGTTAGATTCTGATTTCATATTTTAATAAAGATTTATCTTCCTCATTTCTCCCTACCTATCTTGGATTCTATCATTACCATACTGATGTTATGTTTTTGTAATTTTAATCTATTTTAACGTATGATGGTAATTTGAGTGTCTCATGATTGCTCTTTGTGATTTTCCCCTCAAACTTCTATAGGTGGTCTTCCTTGTAAACTAGAAGGTATTATTGGATCACCAAGGGTACATGGATATCGCAACAAGTGTGAATTTTCTGTTGGATATTCTGTAGAAGGAAAAATAACAGTAGGATTCATGCTTGGAAATTTCAGGTAAACTACATTCACTCTGTTTATACAGTGCTTGGCATGTAAACTGTTTACTAAAGTATTGTGGCAGGGAGGGTGTAACAGCAGTTGAGGAAGCTGTGGGCTGCCCAAATGTTTCTACAATTCTCTCCAATATGCTTCTATCTTTGATGAATTTCTTCAGCATTCACAGTTACCAGTTTGGAACAGGTTTAAGAATAGCGGGTTTTGGCGTCAATTGACAGTATGACTTTGCCAGTTTTTGAATTCAATGTTGCTATCAGTTTGTGATGATCATCTTGCTTGTTATTTGAAATTTTCCCAATATATTTGTGGTATTAGTAAGAGAACTATTCAGCCATTAATTGGTTGTTGAATTTTTCTTGTAAGGTTCGAGAAGGAAGGACAAGTGGGAAGGTTGCTGATGCTGTAGATTTTGGTGGGATTGCAGAGGTCATGCTTATTGTGCAGGTTAATTTCTAACAGTAATCATGTTTAAAGCTACCTTAAATAGATTGAAATGCCTTGCGGTAGAACATGATTTATAAAGGGAGACAAGACCTGATTATATATTGATTATGCAACATGTCTCATGCTGACGTGCCATTCTTTTGTAGATATTCATAGATTTTTGTCACACTGATTATGCAGGTTTCTACAATTGGCTTTGATAATGAGCTAGTAACTGGTGAATTTGAGAAACTTGCTCAAGCATTTGTTGCAGGAGCTAATGCACATTCTCCATCATTACCTCTCACAGCTCTGGTTGTACAGGTATAAACCCTTTTTAGTCTACAATGTTTTGTCAGATTGATATATTAAACTCTTAAGTGCCTTATGTGTGCATGCGCGTGCAAAGCCGCTTGGAATTTGGAAGGTTGTGATATTGTTTTCAATGTCTAATGCAAGTTAATCTGCCCTTTAATTTTCTAAATGATGGCTAATGTGGGAATTGGTTTTATTACATGCAGGATCACCAAGGAATATCCAACGTAGCACCAGCTGATGCCCCACTGCAGTCACTTCTCACTCCTAAAGCGGATGGTGATCAAATAAATTTTAAAAATGGTGCCATGGACGTGAGGATCCATGATTATATCAGCGATCTCCAGTTCTCTATATCTCCAACTGCATTTTTCCAGGTGGGGATGGCATTTCATGTTTTTTACCTGGAGCAGCAGAATCATGTTTTGCCAGTAGTGAAAATATTGAATCTTTTTCTACTGCAGGTCAACACTCTAGCTGCTGAGAAGTTGTACTCACTTGCTGGAGATTGGGCATGCTTAGGTTCTGATACATTGCTATTTGATATTTGCTGTGGGACAGGAACAATTGGCCTGACCTTAGCACATCGTGTTGGTATGGTAATAATCATCTGTGAATATGCTTTTGCTATGGACTCAATTGCTTAAGATCGTACCTTACTGGAAGTGATTATATGTGTGTCGAGGTTGCTCTAGTTGATATCAAATGAAATATGCTTATAACATGACTCAGTTTTCCAAATATTATATGAGAATTGACTGTTCAATTTGCATGTAAAGCCTAGCTTTGGCTTATTTTCCAATATTTTAGGATTTGAATTGATTTAGCCTGATTTGTTTGTGGATTTTATTAGGTGATTGGTGTTGAAATGAATGCCTCTGCCATATCTGATGCCCAAAGGAATGCTGAGATTAACGGTATAAAGAATTGTAGATTCATATGTGCAAAGGTGAGATCAATTTTTTTTTTCCCTTCCTATTTGAATTATGCTGTGGCCTGTGGCAAGAAATTGTCAGAAATTTATAGATGGTAATTTATGGAACCAAGAAAACTTATCTCTGGTGTAAATGTTTAATTCGATTTAATTAGTTTATGATAAAACAAACTTTTGCATGCTGACTATTTGTACGAGACAACAGGCAGAGGATGTGATGGGATCTTTGTTAAAGGAGTACCTAAATAAGCCTAAGGAACAAGTCAATGTTCCAAGTATCTGTGGAACTGATATTGAAGAAATTTCTGTGGGGAGTGCAAGCCAGGAAACTGAAAATGGTGAACGAGAATCTGAGTGTTCTGAAAATGGCAAGCAAGAAGATGAAATTGAGGTTCAGAAAGTGAGTGATTCTGAAAATGGGAATTCTTTGACACAACAATTTAAAAATGTTGTTGCTATTGTTGACCCTCCACGTGCTGGACTCCACCCAACTGTAAGAATCATTTTTCTCATTGCATTTTAAAACAATAAGATGACCCACGCAGTGAGTATGAATGCACTAGTGGTATATTATTCTGTTGTCAATACCGAATTGGGTATTTAATAAATTTGTTGCACAACCTGTTTGAAAGACTACCGAGAGTGATGTCTGAAATCTGTCATAGTTTTGTTTTGCTTGTTATCTTTTCTTGTTTATCCGGTATTATTTTTTATGATGATGACATTATGTGTCCCATATAAACATGTCAATAATTAGTCTTATGTATCATGCAGTTTCCTATTTTCATGCTTTTCTTTCATAAAATATCAATACCAATTCTGGTTTTTATCAACTGCAGGCATTTTAGTTCCCGTCTAAATTTGATTTGGTTAGTTTTGATTCTATCACACGCAGATGCGAATTTAAGTACTATATGATGTATGTTTTGGAATTTCATCTTAACTTGTCCACCTGTCCGGTCAGTTGCTGTTCCTTTTCCTTTCTTTTTTCCTATCAGTGGATACCCAATTTTGCTTTCAATTTCCAGTATAAAAGTGAGCATTTCACTACTGTGAAGATTTTTATTATTTAAAAAAAAATTGTTTCTTGGCCTTACACGGAGTCTTGGTTTGCTGAGTTTTTATTGTGTTTTCACCATCTAAACGACGGGCGGACATTTCATATGTTGAAGGACAAATTCTTTTCCTGATTCCCTTGAATCCATAATATAACATTTTGCCTGAAATTTAAGTTGTGAAATTGCAGGTGATCAAAGCTCTGAGGACTAATCAAGGACTGCGGAGGCTTGTGTTAGTCCTTGTTCTGAATTATAGTACATTCGTTATGGTAATTTCAATTTCTTTGCAATCTAATGATGGGCTTTTATGTGCAGCTACATATCCTGTAATCCTGAAAGTTTGGTGGCGAATGCTATTGAGCTTTGCACACCATCTCCTGTGAAAATTGAAAAAGGAAATAAAGACAACAGAGGATGGAGAAACAGGAGCAGTGCTGGTCTTGCAAGACATAGGGCCAAGTCTATGCCTATCTCAGAGGCCTTCCAACCCATAAAAGCCATGGCTGTTGATCTATTCCCACATACTGAACACTGTGAACTGGTGATGCTACTCGAGAGGTAGGAAGCAAGAAGGTGCTGGTGGATGATTGGTCCGTCTTCCGGGTTGATATTTATGGCTTCTTATCTTGTTAGATCTCAAACTTTTGTGGCGGACCCCCTTCTTCTTTTTAGTTGCTTTCTACTCATCTTTTGCCCCTGCGCATTGAGTAATTTTGTAGAATGACCTTAAAGGTTCAGCTGCCATATAATATTTGCAGCACACACCATCAAGTATTAACATTTATCTGTATCGAGACTGCTGTCCTTTTTGTTTTTTGTTTTGGTTAATTTTATTAATTACAGATCCGCTGGCTGCTGTAAGGGAATTATTTAGTTTGATTGATGATACAGTTTGTTTTTGGCGTTGGAGCGTAATGATTAGTGGATCACACAATTTGTGGTTTTAGTTAGCGTATCATGGTGTCAATTGTCAACATGGATGTCTTATCAAGCTATAGTGCCTCGCCAAGTCCTTGTTGGAGATTGAGTCATCCAACTCACTTTACGCAGCAGCAGTTAGTGGACCTCTATTCCATCCATTTACTATTTATTTATTTTTTGGATATGAAAGGAATCCCTGCTACTACCTCAATTTTGCACAATTTTATTTATGTATTTTGATTAATATTATCCAGTCTGTACACAGATGCATGCTCAATTATAAATAATTTCTTTCGCCTTTTATTTTTGCAAATTTCTTTGCCTCTTTCATTTTCGGGGAATTTGAGTTCCAAATGTTCTAATTATAGTTAAATCTTAAAATATTAAACTATTTATGCAAATAGTTGCAAATTTGGGCATTTTAGATGTAAATCACTGAAAATGATTTATAAGATTTAAATGTTTAATTTGCAACTCAAACAGTGTCTAAATGAATTTTTGCAAATTGCATTTTAGTTGGAATTTTTAGGGTCGTAACTGTCATGGTCTTCTCTACGCTGGTGCCATCATGCCTGTTTGACATTTATCATTTATTTTTTCTTTGGTGAGGGCCCTTTTAAAGGGTTTTGAATTTAATGGCTGCGACATGAAAGATGGGGGTGGTGTCCTCATCATACAATAATCAAAATTATCTTGGGCTCATCATTTTCCCAATTGATTGTGCTCCTCCTCCTTCCCAATCAGTTTCCTCCTCGGTGCCCCCGTTAGGTGTTTTTCTCTTTTTTCTAGTTGTCTACTGATCTCTTTTGGTTTTATTAATTTATTTTGTTAATTCATGTTAGTTCATGTCTTGAGAGGTGTTGAAGGCAAGGTCTTACGGTATAATTCTATTTGTGGCGCTACCCCTTTCTGACTTTTTCATCGGTCCACTTCTCCACCACCTTGGGAGTGTAAAAGGCCATTCCTTCTTTTCATGTTTCGATCTCCGTTCTCATTATTTTGCTCCCTCTTTCCCTTTATTTCCCTCTATCCCATTACTCATGGTGACGCTCCTTTCATTAAAATCTCAACTGTATGCCATCCTCATATAGTAGCATTCCATTATCGCCTGCGTCCTCGTTATTGTACCACTGACACTACCTCATCGTGCTGCCCATAATTCATTCATGGCGACTCCAAATAGGAAGCTTTAGCTTACCTAGTAAGACGCTCACCAGACAAAAGTATAACTAATATTTGATTCAACTTTCTCCATAGTCATGTCGCTGTCTGCTTGCTTTGCTCGCAATCCTTGCTGCACAGCCTGGTATTCCATACTTTAATTCAAAACTATATGGGACGACACGAAAAGGATACGACTTTTCCTCGAGGATCTCTCGTAATGATGAACAAGAAGATAAAATCTCTCTGACTCCCTATGGGTATCACATATGCGCAGTAATGTATACATTATTATATATATCAAAAAGTAAAATAAAAGTTATTGACTAGACTTGCTATTTCAGCTAATTCATTCATATATTTATACTGTCCAGCTTCCAATCGTCACGGCCCCAAGTTAACTTATGTTAACGACCATGCCCCTCTCTGCCCCAGAAGAAGAAATGACAGTAAATTAGGACGTACAAGCAGAGTCTCGTGGAAGTTTTGATCCGACCAAACATGCAAATAATATACAGAAAGGAGACGAGAAAAAGCGAGTGGTTATCGCAAAGTACAGCCTTTTTTTAATCAATAGTGGCCAAGTTAAATCACTCCTATCATAATCACACTGAAACAGGTTTATTTATCTGTTCGTGTCAAGTTTATTTTTACATATATGCATTAGCACAGTGTGGGGTTCGACACTAGCTGCTTTTTTCTTTAGTGAAAGATCTCAAGTTGATTTTCCTTTCCTTCCTTTTCGCACTGTTTCCTCCTGCTTCCACTTGACACTTGCTTCTTTTGATAATGCAAAAATACAAACTCAAATCAAAGAAGCGGGGTCGTGAAGTTGATGTGTCTCGATGTTGTTTATCTCTTTTTTGAAATTTTGGGGCCATCTAGTGTTGTTCATCTCTAATGCTCACGCTGATCAATGCGTGTATCGTGACAGGGGTTGCACAAAAGCTTCGTCAAACCACCTGCTTTATCTTGTTCTTTTGACCTTCTCGTGAGATGAGTAATTTTAATACGAGTGAAACACTCTGCTCTCTTTTTAATTTGGAGAATATGAAGTTTTTAATTCTCGCCTAATCATATTCTCTTGTCAGATATTTATTTATTTTTTCTGGATATAACACACCAAAAAATTCTTTAGGTGGACTGGTGCACCGTCATCCGTGTTTATATAATAAAAATATAAAATCCAAATGATATTAAATATAAATTAATTTTAATATTAATAATAATAAGGGGAGAAAATATAAAATTAAATAGACATTCTATCATACAAATAAAATTATTCACAATAATGATGCATTTTTATTTGATTAAATTAATATAATTTTATTGGATGGATCACTAATAACATGGTATACTGGGTCGTCTAGGAATTTATCATTGATAACCATAAATATTCTCCAAGAGATAAGAATTCGCCAAATAAGGTTATAAATTTGTGATGCCGCTCCGGTGCGCATTGAAAATGAGATGTTGAGATTCTTGATGATTGAACATAATGAAAGGCAATTCCTTATTCGTGTTTGCCCCTTCCCTGTTTGGCCGGGAACTCAACTAACAATCAGATAATTGCGTGAATCGAAAGTGATTTTGAAGCAAATAAATCGCCAAAAAGTGGCAGAAAATAGGGGAACGTGTGCCTGAGGTTTCTTTAACATCAAATTGAACCATCCTTTTCTCTTTCTGGCCTTGTGGAGAGCTCAAGTGATCGAGTCTTACTCAAGTGTTTCTCAAAATTCATAAATAATCACAGGATATTACTATATTTTATCAGGAATTACGAAACAATCAAAGCTGCAGTTCAAATTGTCTGCAAGTAACGCCTTGTGTGTTTTGTTATCCATATCCGTTCTTAATTAATTTCTCTTTATCTTTGCTTTTCTTATATTATTGGCGGGAGAAATTGAGACGATTGAGGAACTTCCAGAACGAGACACATGTTTGAGATTCGATAAAAGTCTGTATGTTTAGCAAAACCCAGATTATCAGTGTAAAAAGAGGGCGTGCGCACTGGTGGAGACTGAGGTTTTGTGTATGTGGAAGTAGGCCAGGCCTTCCACCATCCTCTCATAAATGCTCAGTTTCGTCTTCTTCGTCGTCAGTCATCATGCTCACTTCCTCAAGTCCCGAGTTCCCATTTTCGGCCCTTTCTTCCCTCTGCCTGTTTCAGTCTCTCTGTATTTGTGGGGATAAACTAATGCGTTGAGCAATAAGCAAGTGATATATGGTTAAGCTACGTGTCTGCAAGGACTGAACTTTATTTCTTACTCGTGATTTACTTGGTCTGTGAATTCCAAGTTGAGTTGTGTCTTGTAACAAGAATATGAGTACAGAGCAAAAGCCCCTCAGTGAAGAACAAGATGCGGTTTCGTGCCAAATAACAGCTTCTCTCCCAGTTCACAAGGTAACTTGTGCTCTTTCAACTTCATCATCATCATCATTATCATCATCATCATCTTCTTCTTCTTCTTCGTCAGAGCATAAGATCAGAATAGTACTCCATATTTCATCTCTGATTCTCCGTATTTTGTTTTTCTTCGTCTCTTCTTTTTTATCTATACATGTTTGATATTCTTCGTGTTTTAGTTGTTCTTTCCGATCAAAACTTAGAAAATTTTCTCTTAATTTAATATCTATTGTGGACATGTGAACGAATTCTAGTAGGGGTGCTCGTCTTGATGCTACAGTGCTTTTATGCCAAAAGATATTTCTCTTTTTTCCCCTTACTTCATGATAAGCGTGGCTTAGTAAATTTAAATTTCGTCAACTGAGTATGGGGTATGTGTTACTAAAAAATGTGATAATATTTTTCATTTCATGAATCTTCCTTTTCTCTTGATCGCCAGTAGGTAAGTTTGTTCCACTTTCTAATGCTTGTGGATCAAACTGAGTGCAGGTAGGTCGAGCTGTCTTGTTACTTTCCATTTCCTTTGAATTTTGGAATGTCGTGAAACACTTTTATACAACAGCATGGGGTTGCAAATTTATAAAACCGGAGTTACTCCTACCTGCCTAATTAAAGTTCTTGAGTGTCTTCAGTTTTTTTTTTTTTTTTAATATGGTGTCTCTTTATCTACAGTTGTGTTGATTTTCATTCTGATGGATTTTCTCAGGGCTGTAGTGATGTATTGAACAAGATTCAAAAAGTCTTTTTATATTTATATGATATCTAACTGCCAAAATATGTGTAGCCTGCTAGATTGCTAATAATCTGAATTCTGCAGTGTTGGTGGTCCATTCTTTTGGCATTATGCATGATTGTTTACATGTCGTAATTCATTTGCTATTATGAGCCATAATATCTTGAATCCTCCTTTTCATAATAATTTCTGCATTACCTTTTCGTATTTCTTTCATGGTTAAAATCTTAGCATGTGTGTCTAGTGTTGCTTATATATATCAAATCTAAATTTGATCGATAGGTTGATAATACAATGGGGATAAGTGGAGAGTCCACGCATACTCGTCGCTGGAAGCGAGAGAATCTTTCACTACAAATACCATCAAGAACATCAGAAGAGTCTTCTCAAGATTTTGTAACAATCAAGATGCCTCAGACTCCAAGTCCTTCTCCAACTCCTAAGAGAGTGAATTTTCTGGTGACTTCACGCTCTGTTGACACCTCCAGTAATAAGTCTCCAGGACCTTCAGCATCAAGAGGAAAACCATCCATAAAAAGTCTCTTACCAAAACTGAGCTTTATTTCTCGGGTGTCATCAGATATTGAAAAGGGTTCTACTGCAGCTTCAGAAGGTTCCTCTTCAGGCACTCGAGAAAAGCCTTCAATTTCAAGAACCTTATCCCTTACTAAAATATTTACTCCCAGGATTAAGAGGACCTCATCATTGCCAGTGGATGAATTTGCACATTCAAATTCAGAATCTGCTCATGCTGGAACTCTTGGCACTTCTTTGCAGGTAAGATTTCAATCAGTGTAGTCTTAAATTAAAATCGATTGTTTCAATGTGCGATGAATTCTCCTTCACCGATATGATTAGGAAAAAACGATTTGCTTTTGGTCATGTTGACAAATGATCAGAACATAAAAATTTCTATATTTTTTTGGGCTTTCTTCCACTATCACGAGGTCTTGAGCATGCAAATAGGTTGAAGAATGAAGGAACCTCAAGTTCTAGAAAATTCAATATTTTTCGTTGCTGTAAAGCTTTTATTGTCTTTTGCAGAGAAGCTCTGCTCAGAGGCAAATAGTTCGCTCTCTTTCAGTGCCTGTCAACAATAACGAAAAAGGCTTAAGGAGAATGGATTCATTTTTCCGTGTAATTCCTTCCACCCCACGAGTGAAGGATGGAATTGAATTTTCGACAGCATCCCCAGCAAAGGATTCTGGTATGTTCATAATGAGCACTCTCGTCTGATTTCCAAAAGTAAATAGGATTTTATACATCATGGATATATAATGAGATTCACTGGGCTGACATATTTATGGCGTGCCAAGCTTAACAGTATGAACAGTGAGGCTGAATGTCTGTAAATTCTACATGCAGTTAGTAACTATTTCGGCTATTTTTCTTTGTTCAGAAAACGATATTGCTGATGGTGAGGATATAGCAGAAGAAGAGGCCGTATGCAGAATTTGTATGGTTGATCTATGCGAAGGGGGTGAAACTTTCAAGCTGGAATGCAGCTGCAAAGGCGAACTTGCTCTGGCACACCAAGAATGTGCTATCAAGTGGTTTAGCATCAAAGGAAACAAAACATGTGACGTGTGCAAGGAGGAGGTTCGGAACCTACCTGTTACTCTTCTGCGGATCCAAAGTGTCAGGGCTCGACATACTGGAGCAAGTAGGTCTCAGCTGGACAATGTGAATGAATATAGGTATGCTAATTATAAGTCAATTTTTTCTATCAGATGACTTGTTTCAATTTTGAAGTTAATGGACACTGTGAAGTCTCTGGATACAATACACTTTGACAATTTATCATAATGTTTTGGACCTCCAGTTATGAGTTTGCAACATCAAACTCAGACACTACCATAACTATCAAGTATGACTTGCTTGTGATGAAAGTTCATTCCATGATATCCGTATTTGAAGCTTCATTCTCATGGCTTACACACTTAAAATAATCCTGAAGTAATGAAGTCAGTATTTTCCTTTGAGAGTTGCATTCTAATACAGGAGTGGACTGAATGTTCTAATAACACCTTTGTTGATATTTTCGTTTTGTCTGCTTGTTTTGGTAGGGTTTGGCAGGAAGTGCCCGTTCTAGTCATTGTCAGCATGCTTGCATATTTCTGTTTTCTTGAGCAGCTATTGGTAAGAATAGCAGTCCACTCAGACCTGTCAAAGTCAATATACGTTTATTGTACCCTTAGTTATTTGACTCTGCGCAGGTTGGAAAAATGGGTACTTCTGCAATTGCTATATCTCTTCCGTTTTCATGTGTATTGGGTCTACTCTCATCCATGACATCATCCACAATGGGTAGGTTTGCAAAGATTCTGGTGAAGTTTTATCATGCTGCATGAGATTGACACCATCATTTTACATTATATAATAATCTGAAACCATGTGGCTATTGATAGTAGAGTTATATTGTTCTTCTTAATGAATACTTGCCTTTTTTTTTTTGTGCTTTTTTCATGATAGGTAGTTTGGCTACAAGTCGTTTACCAAACCCTAACCTTTGAAACTTGTTGTTCAGTGAAGAGCAGGTTCGTCTGGATTTATGCATCAGCACAGTTTGCCCTGGTGGTTGTCTTTGCTCATATATTTTACTCCTTGGTAATTGCAAAAGATGTACGCTTCGGCCACAACGTTAAGTTCTTTTGGTCTTTTATTTTTGAAACCCAGACGATCGTAGTTACTTCCTGAACATCCATATGACGTTAAAACAAAATGTAGCGTGTTGAGCGGAAGAATGACTTTGGGGTGCGTGTGTGTGTGACGTGCAGGTCCGCGTGCAGGCAATCCTGTCAATACTTCTAGCAACCTTCGCAGGGTTTGGTGTGGTAATGAGTGGAAGTTCAATTATTGTTGAGTTCTTCAGATGGAGAAGAAGATGGCAGGCTTCATTAGAGCAGAATAATAATGGTCTTCCAGTTATGGCACCTCATTCTGGCTCTTCCAGAGGAAGGGCTCAGAGTCAATAAAACTCGAGTGCTTCTTCATAAGCCAAGAGAGCAGTTAAAAATCGATGCTCATCTCTGAATATCTCGCAGTCTACTCAAGACTCTGAATGTACAGCTCGTAATGATACTGATACTGATAATGCAGTGTTATTAGAGAAAAGATTGGCTCGGGGCTGCAATGGAATTAGTGGTTGTTGCTGGTTAGAGTTTCTTTTGGGCTCTGTTAAATCAGAAGTTTTGTAGCCTCCTTTTTTGTCATCTTTGGGAGAGACAAGAAAAGAATTGAGGCATTATCTGAATATTATGATCATGGGGCCAATAACAAATTTTGTGAAGCATTCCAAATACACTGGAAGCTCATCTACGGTGCTTTTCACCGAAAGTATTTGTACGAGTCTACCAGATTTAACGATTGAGGCTTCAAAAGTTTGTGATAATTTAATGGTGGTATGACAATTACTTAAAACTAAGATTTCAATCTTCTGAAATAAAAAAACTTCAAAAAGGATTTTTTTTTTTTTAAAACAAGGTTTAAATGAGTTGAATTATTGGCTCACTAAAACGTCTTTGTTCAACGGATATAAAACATCCACGCTTTAGCATCTAGTGCAATGGCTCCCAGTGCCACAAGCGCCAATTTGACTTTCTGGGAGTGATGATTTAGTGGTTGTCAACAGTAAAGTTGTTTTTGTTATATATTTCATTAAGTACTGTGGATTTTTGGATCAATCATATTCATGCATTTACAATTCATGTAATGATATTAGTACTCTTAAAAGGTATTCTATGGGAGACATGTCTATCAACAAAGTTCTCACCACGTAATTTGATTTTCATAATTTTGTAGGTGATGAATTAAATTCTTACTATAAAAAATGGTTTTGTGTTTAAGTTTTTTTTTTTATGTGTCCAATGAAAAATAAGATAGCAAATACTAAGATAGTATTGGATAGCCCAATGTAGTCTTGTTCAAGGTTCTTTTTACTTTTTGCCCAATAGATAAGTAGGTTTTAGGCCCAAAAGACAATTATAAGTCCAATGCCAAACACGGTCATAAGCTAAGGGACCCACTCATTTTATAATTTATATTCACCTAAGAAGTATTTAATTTCAATGACTTAAATTATTGTTCATTTTTTAATATTTTAAATAATTTTTTAAAACTAAATTCAATCAAATTAACCTAATAAAATATTGACCCTGATTTCAGCCGATTTTTTTTTTTAACCAGTGATTTCAGCAGGACTTTAGCACAGTAATATCAAGTATGTAGCTTTTTTCTTACAAATTACTGATCCCTCCATTAAAAGATATAAAATATTTTTTAAAAAATTAAATGTTTAAAATTGTAAAATATTATTAACATTTTAAAATATAATTATTATTTTTTTAAAAATATTTTTATTGATAAATAAATTTATATTTATTATAAGATATTTAATATAAATAAATATAAAAAATAAAATTAATTTAAAAATAAATAATTATTTTATTAAAAAATGAGATGTAATTAAAAATATTTTATATTTTTAAACGCACGACTAACTATTAACCGACGGATCCAGAAATGATCACCTCCAACATTTCGGGGGAACTAAACTATAAAATTCGTCGCGCTATTTGCATCTTGCAGCCAAAAAGATTGGAGCGTGTGATCTTATTGGCGAGCTTCGTCATTGAAAATGGTTCCGACGTTGACGAAGAACTAGGCTCAAACTAGAGTGAATATTGCGACCAGAATAGCAGCACAAGCACCGCCTCTTCTCTGCGCTCTTCCCGTTCCCATAATCTCTTGTGGAGGTGCCCCTTCCTCACCAGTCACCACTGTGACTGACTCCCTCTCTGCCCATCTCTATCTCGCTCCTTCTCTCTGCCTCTGCGGATTTGTTGCTTCTTGCTTTTGCTTTTATTCAACTTTAGTCAAATCAAATAATGGCCAAAGAAGCCACCTTTTTGTGATAGTCTACTTCATTTGAACATTTTAATCGAACACTGCACTGGCTGTTGGAATGGCTGACTGAGGGAATTGTAATTGTGCTTTAGGGGTCCGCAAGTTGGGGTTTGTGCCCCAGTTAAAACAGAGTGAAAGGCTGAACAGAAGAAAATTTCCCATAAATATGGTTTGGAGTGTGGAGAATTCTGAGGTAAGTACTGAAAGCAAGATTGGAGCGGTTCATCTAGCAGAGGATGCTTTTGCTGCAGAAGCAGTTGAAGCTTTAAAATCTGGGAAGGTTATTGCTGTACCCACTGATACACTCTACGGGTTTTGCTTGTGATGCTTGGTATGATATCTGAGTTGATGCTTCACATCTTGCCCATAATCTGTTTGTTTAAATTCCTCCTGGTATTATTGCTATTCTTATTCAGGCCTCCTGTTCTTTTAATGTGTTGCTGACGAAGTGCTTGTGTTTCTGTCTCCCCCGCCCCCTTTCCTCTTCCCATATAAGGAACATAACATGTTGATTGTACTCTTGGAAATAACAAGTTACTGCGTTGGCGATTTATATAGATGAGAGACCGATACGGAAGATGAACAAAAGTGACAGACTTCCGGTTGTATCTTGTGAACACCCTTCTCCTCCATGAAAGCAAGTGATTAAGTTATTGTTCTATGTTATATCCCTATCTAGATCTCAAATATAAAAGTTGGCTCCACATGATATCGACCCTTCTGACTGCTTTTTAAAGTGTTTTTTAAAAAAAACAAAAATCATTTGCATTTCATAAGCTTCTGCGCATCTCAATTCTTTACATAAAATTGGATTTTGTTCTATTATTGATTAACATTTACTCTTATTGGAACATTTCACAGCTCGTTGGAAGCAGTTAACCGAATTCATGAGATTAAAGGACGTCAACATACAAGGCCCTTGGCTCTATGTGTTGGGGATGTTTCAGACGTAGAGCGTTTTGCAGTGACTGACTCTTTGCCTCGTGGCCTGCTTGATTCCCTCCTTCCGGGTCCCGTTACAGTTGTGCTGAAACGAGGTTCGCTGGTAACATGCCTGCTGGAAAATACATACACTAAAATAAGACCATGGAACAAGAAGTATTTACAGAACTCTACATCTTTATTTAACTAGACTAGATCGGTTCAAGAAGTGGATTTAAACCTTGAAGCTGCAATTAGTTTGCATCTCATTCTACTTATTTGTCTAATAGTTTAGTGGGGACATATTCTCGGAGAATCAAGTGTTCTTGAACGATCTTTGAACCCAATATTTGATAGCATAGAGGTTAGAGTGCCTGACAGCAATTTCATTCGGCTCATTGCTCGTGGCTCTGGAACTGCCTTGGCCCTCACTAGTGCAAACCTAAGCGGACAGTCAAGTAGTGTTTGCATCAAGGATTTTGAAGACCTCTGGGGACATTGTGCCTATGTCTATGATGGCGGTTCTCTTCCATCGGGATGTGCAGGTTCCAAAATTGTGGACCTCGCCACACCATACAACTACAAGATTCTCAGACCTGGAAGGTACATTCTGTTGAGATAATCTTTTCTTGTCTTTCAAGTTTCTTAATGTGCTTTCAGAATGGGATGTTCATTGTCAGATAGTAATAACACCAAAGACAGGATTTGAGTCCGGGTGTTTACACTTCACTTTCAAATTTGGGATAGGATTGGTGGGATCTATATGTCGAGATGTTAGAGGATGGGATTAGAAAAATGGGGAACGCTAGATTCTGTTTTGGTTAAGGTATAATAATGGGAATCACACAATATAGCTACTGAAGATCTCACAATAATTGCATTAAAAATTCACTCAAGAGCAGCACAAACTCTGATGCAATAACAAGAAAGAGACCACACTAATTAACAACAGAAAGAAATTACAGAACAAGAAGAAGAATAGCAGAAAGAAATTCCCAAGAGTGGGACCAGAGAGGATATCAGAGGGAGAAGAATGACATCAAAGAGAAGACTCCATAAGATTCATCCACACCCCCAAAACCCTTGTTCCATATCTATTTATCCTAACATCATCCTAAACTATTCCACTTCTCTTAAGCCCATTCAAATAAGCAGCTGGCCCAATAGTCCGTTTCTCATGGTCCAGGGCCTCATTAATGCTAAATCCCTTCATTACAGATCCATGGTTATATATACTAGTTTTGTTCTTAGGTCTGAAGTTTTTGGGGCAGTCTGTGAAAAGCTTACAAAAGAGTGTGGTGTTACATACAGGCGGCTTTAACAGTGTTCATTGTCCTATTGTGTAGTGTGAAGGAAGAGACAGTGGCTATCTTGGAGAATCATTCTCTGGTTGAAGAAGTAAATAAGCAGTGATTGATGTGGAGTACCTCCATCTAGACGTCCGTGGGGGCGTGGGGCAATTTATCCTCCAGTTACTATTCAGCCAAAAAAAAAAAGCATCTTCTATTTTAATGAAGTTTTAATTTAATCTTTCAAATGATGGTTGTTTTATTACAGCCATCGTGTTAGCTTATAACTGAGTGTTTATTATTGATTGTTTATGCAGCTATTTTAGCTATGCACTTATGTTTTTTCCCCTTCCATGAGAACTTCCGCGAAGCTTGAGCCGCTCAGTGGAGTGGAATTAAAAAGTGCTTTCTGATAGTCGCACAATCCAAGTCATTAGGTGGTGTCATTTATCTTGTAAGTTACTGTATCTCGTAGTGAACTTAGTTTAGAGGTTATTCCATGAAGAATATTTTTGGAGATTAAAATGACACTTGAAGTATTTGGAGATCAAATTAGGAGAAAAACTAATTTGTTGAATTGCTGGTTATTCATCATCATGTTAGTTCAAATAAAACTAACAGTAACAATCCATGTTAAGAAGATTGTAGTTGATTCAGCATCCTTGGAAAGGCCTGATGAGATGTTAGAATAAGATTGAACCAAGACACCTTAACTAATAATATTAAGTGTTAAAAATACTGCATTTTGACCCTCAAATATAATTAGCTTAATGTAACCATTTTTATGCACCATTCTCTGTTGCATTTTGGGTGTGACTCATTGAGAGGTTAAAAAATGTCGACTAAATAACAACAACAATGCAGGTGAAATTCAGTATGATTTTCAGGATTTGATCATGTGATTCTTTATAAGAATGAGAAAAAAATTTCGAGCATTTTAAGAGTGAAGATTAAAATCTTATATTCATGGTTTCATCAAGCTTTGAATTATTTAATAAGTATGATGAATGAAAAATTTATAATCTTTAATAATATATACTAATTGCTTGTAAAATAATAACATATAATTGATCTTTTAAAAAAACTTAAAAGCATATACAATAGAAAAAATGCCTCCCCAATGAAAGGAAGGTCATGGATTTGATTCCAACTCTGTACATTTCTCTAGTTGTTTCAAATAAAAAAAGAAAGAAAAGAAGAAGAAGAATGAAAAAAGGAAAAGAAAAGAAAAGAAAAGAAAATAAGGGTTGCCAACTTGTCCTTCATAAACTCACAT